CTTCTGACAAAAGTAACGAACAAAGTCATTAAAGTATTGACAGTGTCTACGGTTCTAAGGTTATCCAGAAGTACATAATGATCAGCTTGATCAAATGCCTTCTGAATATCTGTAAAGATTACATCAACTTGCCCCCGAGTGTCTAATACTTGGGAGATATACTGAGTAATCAGGGTCAAGTTGGTAACCGTAGATCTGCCGCTCAAGAATCCATGCTGATTGACAGAGATTGCACCCTTGACCGACCAGTAAACCGTATTATAAACTGTGATCTCAAACAACTTACCGAACTTGCATAGAATTGCTATTTGTCAGTAGTTGCGATATATCTCCCCTCTTACGAATGGAACATATTTTAGTGGTCTTCCAGATATCTGAGTATGTCCCTAATTTAAAAATTAGGTTAAATACTAAAGCCAACGGTTTAGCCATTATGTGAATACAATCTCTAACAAGAAAACTTGGGATACCATCACATCCAGATGTCATTTTGTTCTTTAATCTTTTCGAAGCCATGATAACACCATCTTCACTTATATGATTGAGATAAATTGTACTATTGGATTTAGTTGTTGAAGATAAGTTCCTTTGTGGATTGGAGTGTATAAAAACTGATGAAAAAAAAAACAGCAAAACTGTCTAAGGTATCCTGAGTATCGGAAACATTGCCGTCAAGTTATTCTAGATTATCTAGATTGCTGTTTTTTAATATGAACGAATGACCAGAATTTAATAGGATCTGTGACAATTGCATCCTCAACCGATTGGATTTACGCAGAATATGCAGCATTGATTTGGTTTTTAATAAGCCTTCTAAGATTACTAAACTGAATATAAAAGAAGTTGGTGCCGGTGCTGCCGCGATATTATCAATCCTTTGCATTTTCTAAGTAAAGATTGTTAAAAAAACGTGGCAATCACAAAATTCAGTAAATCACAATATTTTCTGTCTTTGTTGTGGAAAAAAACGAGAGCAGACCACTAGCAAAGTGATAACCAACGCAGTCAAAACTGACACTGCTGACAACTCCTCAGGGCTGCGTTCGTAAATTGTTACAGAGTGCACTTTGCACTACTCCGTAACAATTTTAGCGCTCGTAATTGTTTGACGAGCCTGTTACATGGTTCGGAAATATAACAAATAGTTCGTTGTTTGTTTATTTTATTTGGTTATCAAAAACTGCTTTGGCAGCAAATATATTTTTCATGATAAATGCTACCTTGAATCACTAGGGTCTCTTATAATAACTACGATGGTCGCAGAAAACGTAGTTAGAAATTAGTCGGCTGTCATCAAGTGTCATTACATGACTCTGTAATAATTTAGGCATTCTAAAACAAAAGTTTCACAGTATTCCAGAGTAAAATTTCATCTGTCAATCGACATTCCATTACTGTATACGGTATTACATTACCAAGTGATTTACAAACGCACCCTAGCTAGGATGCTTCTACATACCGGGCGGGGTTTTAATATGTAAGCGGTCGGTAGCTGCGCTATTTTGAATACCTAAAAAAGTTATTACTGGAAAATATGCCACTCCCAACAACATGGCAACACAAAACATACATTTTTATTATTCGTTCACAAACAACACTAGAACATATCAAAATTACATGATCAAACGAACTTACTACATGTTCCATCCCAATTATGTGGAGGTCTCGTCGAAGTAAATACTACTTGCAGTACCCTCGAGTTCAAAGCGCTAACGCAGCGAAGGAAAGCGGCTCACCGCGTCTCCCTACCTTCCCCCTCTCTGGCCGCCTATCAGCTCTCACTTTCTTCAAAGCCAAGTTGTTGAAACAATTGGGTGATACATAGGGAGCTATTTGCTTCGACGAGACCTTCACATAATTAGGATCGAACATCACTTACAGGTAAGTTCTTTTGATCATGTAATTATGTTCCGATCTCGTCGAAGTAAATACTACTTGTAGATGTTCAAATCGAGTTGCTACAACATACTACTAACGCTCTGGAATAGTAAACGATAGGTTGTACACAACTACATAAATTGTACGCAATGTATGTGTCAACTGAATGTACACTTCCATTGTAACAACTCAACTTAGGGCTTATAGCAACAGGTAATATGACGTGCCTGGTTCAAAAATTACCATCCACCATGGTAATAAGCAAATTACGTAATAACAAAGTTATATTTAAGGTGTGGTATTGTTTGGCATAAGAGAATGTGTCGTAACTCAGAAAACGCACTATAGCCCGCCGCGAGCCTGAGACTATTATAATTTAGCAGGCGGGGAGGTAGACGCATTTCAGGTACTGTGGGTTGTCAATTGTGACACTCTTTGCTAAAACCGACTTCATCCATCTGGGAGCCGAGGCACCATGATAAAGCTACTGTACAGTGACAAATAAATGCTTTGACTGTACAGATATTTTTGCGTAAAATACGGTAAAACTTAAGTGGTTGCCATATGAGTGGCCTGAGACTTTCAAAAACTGAGAAATCCCAATTTCAATATTATTCAACCAGATCCGGATGTTGTCTGTTTCAATTAGATTGCACACTCTGACCTGAGGTTAGGGCTAGCAGTGGTACTGATTTCCTCATATCCGAATATCTACAAAGATCACCAGCAACCCCTTTGGTTGGTTGAGAACAACCACAGTATCTATATTTCGGTTAAGATGGCCTCAGCCTGTAAAAACCATCTTATGCCTGCATCGTTAGTAGCATTTTGGATAAAAGACTGATAGCTCAAACAATTATATATATATATATATATATCTTAATCTCTTATCACACTGTAAGATGAGAAATTTCAAGGTAGAAAAACAGACATGTATTTCTTCCTGACAAAGGTCCTACCGTACTAAGCCCACAATAACATGATGGACCATAGCTGCCGATCGAAATGACAGCCTTCCAGTGACGACAACCAGGGTAAGCTTCACAATTAGTGGGAGCGGCGTCCAGGGTCCCTCCATCAGATCTTTGCGTTACCTCTAGAAGCGAAATTTCAGGGACACCGAACACATGAACCAAAATCAGGACGGTGACAGGTGTAGCTCCCATTTCCACGTTCCACTGACGCAAAAGCTCATCAGTATCACTCCTAGATTTTATATTTGACTCCAGTGCGGTAAGATTTCTCTCTTTACCTAACTCTCCCGCAACCTGGTTCAGACGTGGAAACTAGAAGCTTCCCATTCTATTAGTGTAGGTGTAGGATATAGTTGTCGAATTATCAGTGGGGTATAATATTCGATAGCCCATCAAGTCAGGAGCAAAGCATTCACAACAGAAGGAAACTGCCAGTAGTTCTAAATGATTAGCATGCGGGATCTTCTCGGGTGGCCAAAAACTATGAGACTTTTGCCCTGACCAGCGAATGTCCCAGCCCGAGAAATTATACAACTAAAAATTGGATACTTTAATACCTCTGACCGCATCTGCCAGTTTCTTTAAGCACCACCCGAGGTAGACCTTAAGTTATGTTATGTTAGTGGCATAGAAGTGTTAAAATTCCCTTGAGAGTTTTACAGTCCAAAAAATGTCACCCGTTAGTGTATAGTCAGCTGTAACGAAATGAAAGGCAAGCTGACACCAAGATCCCGATACTTACGGCAAAGTTTCTGACTCTGTCTTGGTTACTGTCCATTATTGCCCTTACTAGGTTTAGTAATGTCTGCCTCGTTCGCTCAAGTAAAAATACTTTCTTTTTGTCATAATTGAATACTGGGCCTAAACGTGCCCAATTTTGACTGGAGGTCAAGCAGCTTTTTTATAATTGATTAAAAAAAGGGGTGTTAACTGTTGCCTGGATATTATACAGGCAATCTCTATTAGTATAACCGAACAGAAAGGAATACAGACAGATAATTTTCTTATTCCTTAAGAAATGGTTTTATTAACTTTGCTAACACATGAGGGGCACAATTTACCCTAAAACGTACAGCATTATATTCGAAGAGCTGCCCATTGAATCTTAATCTGAAATATACTCTATGACGCTCCCTAATGGGTACCAAAATCTCTGCATATTCCAAATCCAGATTCGTCAAGAAAGTATCTCTACGGAGAAGTCTGATGCCAGACTAAGTGTCTTGAGGTAAGAAATCGAACGTGTTGACCCATCAGACTTGAAAGCAAGAAAAATTTGGATAGGCGCTGATTTTTAATTAACTCAACCTTTTTACTGATAGCAAAGCAATTGAGAGACTGTCGAAGGTCAGTAGTTCATAGATCGACTAATGAGATTCACTTTCTAATTTTGCTCGCGACGAAAGTAACCTTGATGGCGACCGTCCGTCGGCCTCTCGCCAACAATGCACATCTATCGGCCAACCTTCGGTCCAGTTGTTTAATTCTAATATGTTTAGCGATTCCTCGACACTGCTGAAAACGTAAAAATCGGTGCGCGAAGCCGCATGTTAACCGTTTGGCACGAGAATACGGAATGAGAGTTGATAGGCGGTCGATCAGAGAGGAGGAAGGTAGGGGGACGCGGTGGGCCGCTTTTCTTCGCTGCGCTTTTTTACTCGTATGTTACAAGTAGTATTTATTTCGACGAGACCGGGACATAATATTATCATTTGAAGATTGCAAAGAATATCTGCGACCGCAGACACAAGGTTTTTTCACAGTGGTCGGTGACTGTGTCTGGGATCCGGCCGTTTATATTCCGTCTATATTGCGAAGCACAGTGAACGGAATTTGTGAGCACTTGCTGCTGCTGAGCACTTAAACCTCCATCATCTTTGTACTAGGGGAATTTATTTGCGATTTTGTCCGCCGAAAAGGCGGCCGTTTTTGACAATGATGGGAGAGTTTCATAGCTGATTGTTATCTTAGCTAAGCTAATAATTTTAGTTGAAAATACGGCGTCTGACATACTAAAACTGAGAAACTCTATGTTAGAATTGCATATGGTTCAAATTTATTATTGCTGTTATGTATTACTTCCAATTGATTATGTAGCCATTAGTGCTAAATAAATATTTCTGCTACTACTAGTAAGTTAGGTCTTACCTAAGATCTGGATTCTGATTATCCGGATGTGTTTCAATAACAGTATGTTCTTTGACTTGCAGCTGTATGTAACCTATGAAACCTATGCTGCGGCAAACCACCAATGGTACATTGCATTCCCATAGATGTTTTGACAGGGGAATAAGCACCCTGAAAATAAATAAAATCACTGTGAGTCCTACTGGTATATCCAGAAGACGGGCTTTGGCCCACCAGAAATCACATCACTCTCCCCTAAGAGTAATTTTCTATTTTATGCTTAAAAAATGGCGTCAAGTAGGTTGACTCTGCATTTCCCATGCAACGCCCTTATCAGTGCATAAAAAACTATGGTCAGCACAAACTAAGCCCTAGGAGGGAAAAGTCAGTCAAATAGATCCATACATTCTTTCCCTGCCCTACTGGTACTGCATCTGGTTTTCAGGGCTAATGTACAGAGATATCTATGATGTGTGAAATATAATAATTACCAATATTGGGAGCATATAAATGTACCAGCATCAAAGAATTCGGATAAAATCTTACAAGAAGATTTCCGTTTGTCTATTCTTCATGACTCGACCTATCCCCTACTGATGTTTGCTGAAACGCATGAATTAACATTGTATGTGGTTGATCATAGTTACAGAGACGAAAACCAAACGGATGTTACTTATAGCAGTACATACACATTCTATGTCAGACAATATTTAAGTATTGCATACAGTTAAAAGGATTGGACGAAGTACATCCTATAATATAAAAGTATAATTTCTCACCGCAGCTACCGCACTGACGACATAAGCTTGAATATATTACTTGTTTCTTGTAAATTCTTTTGGCTTTCACCTGGACAGTCACTTGAACTCAGACGAGCACATCAATAATCTGGCCATCAACAAACTTAGTCAAAGTTTTGCTTTTCGCAATCTAGTTAATTGCGAGTCTCAGAATGTCATTTGAAAGCTACATTCACTCCAATATAGTTTAATGATGACTTCCATAGTTACCAAACCAGATTTGATTAATAATTTGGTAGTTCTATATAGTATGGTGCAGAGAGCCAGAGATGGGCATAAGTACTACAATATTAAGTTTTACATCATTTTACCTAAATCAGTGAAGTCACTAAATATGGAAAATTTCAAGAAGGCACTCAAGGGATACTCATTTAGGAAAGCCTTTAACAATATATCCGATTTTATGGACGATTTTTGTGATTGGTTTTAATGTGTCATATTTATTTTCCTTCATCCTAATATTTTCCGTGTATTTTAAATTGAACTACTTTTTCTTTTTGACTTGTGTAAATGCTATTATTATTAAAGCATGACACTCCATCATAATAAATTGCTCAATCAGGTGTCATTTATATCAAAGAGAAACAGTTTTGTGATTTAGGACCTTGGCAGTGACTTCCAGCTCTTTCATCAGAGAAGAAGTTAGCAAAGACTTTCCTTTAGCTTATCTGGTACCAAAAGGTTTGCTACCATATCCCGTAATGCCAGCACTCAATATCTATAATTATATATATATATATATATACATCATTATTTTTAATTTAAATCAGTAGCAGTACAAAAAACTAACTTGAATAAGGATGAACTTGTTTATTATACATTTTAGCTCAAATGCCAAATCCCTTGCTAAAAAGTTTTCTCCACAAAAATCATGATTTTTCAATATTGTGGTACATAGGAATTTCAAAATAATAAAGTTCATATAGGTTGAAGTTCAAGATCCCTGTTATACAATCAGTGCAGGGATTTGTAAAAAAAAATCCAAACATTTTTTTTACTTTATTATCAATGTAACCCAATCCATGTACAATTGCATTTTTCAATTAAATGAGTAATTACACAAAGATATTAACAAATATAATTAGTTGTCTTTATGGTATAATGTACAAAATTCAGACAATAGTGAAAAAAATGTAAAACTTGTTAATGCAGTTTAACTCTACTATGAAATTCGATGCTGTGCTATTGTTCCTCAAAGATTTGGCATTAAATAGTGCTGAAAATCTAATCTGTGACAATCATTTTCCTCCCTTCTTTTTCAGCATCTCTAAATACATGCCCAGTGACTGTTGTACTTGAGGATTGTTTGAAAATTGCAAGAAATTTACAAGGTCAGCTTGCTTATTTTTTACCATATCTTGAATAGTTGGTCCCCTAATAGATTGCTTGGTCAAGCTTCTTGCCATTGGAGGAATCTTAGCATATTTAGCCATAAATGAATTTGCCTTCTCTATTCCTTCATCTTTGCTGTGCATGATTTCATCAACAAGCCCTATCTTCAGTGCTTCATCAGTGGTAAACATCTTGCCTTGGGTCAAAGCTAGCTCGGACTGTCTGTGGCCAATGACGTTTTTCATAGTAGATATGAACCATGGAGGTGCTACAATACCTAGAAGAGTCTCATTCAAGCCAATTGTGCAATTAGTCTGCATTATTCTATATTCACAGGACATTGCAAGCAGGCAACCCCCTGCTGGAGAGTGGCCATTAATCACAGCCACTGTAGGATATAGGCATCCATAAAGCTTGATCCAGCAATCTTGCAAAGTAGTCCAGAACGTCTTAAGCCGATCCTGATCAGGCTTATACATTTCCATGATATCCAGACCTGCAGAAAATACTCCATCTTTCTGTGATGTTAGAATCACACCTCTGCTTTTATTCTTCTCAACTTCAGTTAAAGCATTATGAATATCACTCAAAAGTTCTAAGTTAAGACTATTTACTGGGGGACGTTGTAAACTCAACACTGAAACACCAGTTTTGTCATCTATGGTCAAGGAAACAAGTTTGGATTCAGAACTGTACTGCTTGAAATAAGCAATAGGAAGCTGCTGCAATCTTCTCAAATTTCTGAGGGCCATGGTGTAGTTGGTGAGAACTTTGTACAACTGGATCAAAGTCTTGTATAATAATAAGTATCAATTTTTTACCTGTATCAAGATTATAGGTTAAAGTCCAGTAAACTGTGTAAATTACAATGTTGCCATGCTTACTAGAGCATATTTCCCAATTTTTACAAGCATTCAAATCCTGAGTATGTCAATATACTACAATCTTCCCATAACTTTCGTCAACAATACTTCCATGGTATTTTTACCATTTGGAAGGTTTAAGCAAATGCATCAAAAATAATCTTTATTATTATATAACTTGGAACTTACTTTTCAGATAAGGCAGTAGCTATAACCACAGTGAAATTCTTAAAAAAATCTTGAGTATTAGTGAGTGTATGTTCAGCAGACTCATCAATGTAGTCACCCCTTACATCAGGATTCAGTTCCAGCAAGCACTGGGTTGCAACTTGAGCTCTTGATAGGCCAACACTGTCATTCTCTAAAAAGAAACTGGGAAGCTTGATTAGCAATCAATTTCAAAACCAAATGGGGCTTGTCTTACTTAGAGCCAATATCCTCTTCAGTAATTTTCTCACCATCTACAATAGTGAATGAGCCAATACCAGGCAATACCAAGCTTTTCAGGACTTCAGTACCCAAAGCAGTCGCGTTTATCAAGCATACTTTTGCGTTTCCTAATAATTTTTGGCCGTGGTCGCCCCAAAGCCTGGAAAAGAGTCATGATATATTTAATACAAAAGCCTGAAAATTTTAATAATATACCTCAATTGCCGGTCGTATTTTTTGCTCTTATCATTTTGTTCTGGCGATTTGGGGGCCGGTGATGACATATCAGATTTTGGGAATAATCTGCTTTTCCAGTTTGAATAAATTGGTCTCATAAACTATCGTATGTTTTGTAAAATGAATTATTTTCATAACAATACAACCCCAATTCAAAGATAATGATTGACACTCACTTGACATAAATGTCACCAACCAAAAGTCAACATCAGCCCAGTGCACAGACAAATACGAATTCAGATGCACCGTCCTTTTCAACAAAAATGCCACTGACTACAGTATATTCAGATAAGAGATAGATCGGATGTAAACAAAAGGTTCGGGTGATTTTCACGCTAACGCCGCCGTCTCGACGTAAAACAGGAGCCCTCATTGGTCAATTCGCAATTAAATGCCTATGCCGAGCGGCAGAGCAGTCGTATCAAGGCAGAGTCACATTCAGGTTCAGACGTGTTACGTATGTCGTGTGCATCATTGCAATTTGATATTTCTTTGGACGTTTTCGTTTGTTATCTTATTAAGTTGTTGAGTTTGTCGTTGTTATTGTTATACCTTGTTATTGATTGTTATTGTTATCAACTGCTTGCGCAAAATGCCCAGTAGTACAGATACTGCCGATGAAGTTGTAAACTCCTGTAGTCCACCTAGGAAACGCTCTAAAAAAAGACACCTGAGTGCAGAAATGAAAGAGGTCATTTTGAATATATATAAGATCGAGCGCGAGGAGAACGAGGCATCAACCATCAAAGAAATTGTTGTGAAGGTTTCTCACAAAGTTGGGGTGTGTCGCGCATCAGTGTTTAATGTGTTAAGACAATACAAAAAAAATCACACCTTTTCTGAGCCAATGACCAGAAAACATCGCAAGAGTATTGTTAAATCATTGGATGAAGCTGATAAGCATGCGATTAGGAGGAAAGTGCATGAATTCTTCTTTAGGAATGAAATACCTACTACTACTATAGATAAAGTACTGCAGGAGGTAAATGGAGATACAACGTTGCCAAATTTCAAACGATCAACTTTCCATTTCCATTTCCGTTACTGAAGCATTTAAATTTCAAATGGAAAAAACGGGGTCGTAATAGTTTACTACTGGATAGAGAAGAAATTTTGCTATGGAGGAGGGATTATTTAACAAAAATTGGGAAATATAGAAATCAAAACAGGAAGATTTATTACCTTGATGAAACGTGGGTAAACGTAGGACACACTACAAGTAAAGTATGGGTTGATGATTCTGTAACTTCATCCAGGAGGGCCTTTCTAGATGGACTGTCCACTGGATTAAAAAATCCAGCAGGTAAATACGAGTAATAGACAACAATCGGATGTTTTTCAAACCTTGGGAACAAGGTTCTAAACATTAATTCCAGGGGCAGATAAAACATATTACAAGTAACAAAACTTTTATAACTTTCGATAAAATGCGTGGATGTTTTATTGTCATTTTCATTTGTTAGAACTTTTTTAAGCCATGTTTTTATGTGTTTTCGATATTTCAATAATTTTTTAATATAATCTTAAAATATGTCGAATATTATAAACTTAAAAGAAGTTACTAAGTTTTATATTGTGTACCGTTCCTAATATTTCTAATCATTTTAATTCATACTTTAAGCTTTATAAAGTTATAATTTGTTAATATTAATATTTGCGCGTATTTCAGGTTCCTGATCATTCATTTTTTAAAGGTTTATAACTTTAAATTAAATTGTGAAGCGCTGAGTAATCATACGACGTTCAATATTCTTTCTTTCAATATGACTAAATAATCCCAATTATAGCAATCTGATACTCATGTCTCAATGTTTTTTCGCTGAATGTGATGAAAACATTTGAAAAAGGTTCGCTTATTGAAATAAATCTACACCAGTTAATACTTCGATTTCCAGGTAAAGGGAAAAGGCTCATTATCTGCCATATTGGCAGTGAGGATGGATTTGTTGTTGACGGTCTGTGGTGCTTTGAGTCTAAGAAAACTGGAGATTACCACGAGGAAATGAATGGCGAATCGTTTGAACAGAACAAAATTTTACCGAACTTAGAGGAAAACGCAGTAAGTGTGTTGGATAATGCGCCTTATCATTCTCGAAGAATGGAGAAGGTCCCAACAACGGCTTCAAGGAAAGTTGATGTTCAAAATTGGCTCCGCTCGAAAAATATCAACTTTGAAGAAGCAATGCTGAAAGTACAATTATTAAGAATTGTCAAGGATCACAAGGCGGAATATCAAAAATACGCCATTGACGAAATGGCAGCAAGTCAAAATAAAACTGTGCTCCGTTTACCTCCATACCATTGCGAGCTCAATCCCATTGAGCTCATATGGGCAGAGGTTAAAAATTATATAGCTAAGCACAATACAACTTTTAAATTTTGTGACCTCAAAGGACTTTTCAAAGAAGCACTAGAATTAATAACAGCGCAAAAATGGGAAAACTGTATTAAGCACGTGAAAGACAAAGTTGAAAAGAGACTGTGGGAACTGGACAATATTTTAGAGGAACAAGTCGAGCCATTCATTATTGACGTTGGTGCTTCAGGCAGTAGCGATGATGAAAGCTTATCAAGCTCATCTTTCCAATAAAAGATGTCGTTCATCAAATTCGGTAAGTTATAAGTAATTATAAAGCTACTGTATTTTTTAATTAATTATTGACATTTTTGAACCCATTTTGGCAAAACCTATTCAAGAATCTACTTTCTGACAGTGTTCAACCATGCACATTTTTTTACGTTTTGAACGTTTTAATTTGGTTACATATTTACCTGGAAATCAAAAATATACTAATCAATATTCTAAAAGCAATTTTAAGAGATATACGATTATTTTTAATTTAGGCTAATTTAAACGCCATTTTGAGATTATATTCGACTGTATTTCACCAAACATCAGACGGCATCCGAAGCTGGAAATCGAAGCGAAAATTTTGAAACCCTTATGTATATTCACATCATTATATATTTCTTACCCCACCCCCACATGATCCTATATCCATCACCAATCGTATACACATCGAATTGTGCTAATTTACTACAAAGTTACGCAAAGCAGCATCTACTATCTAAAATATGTACTGCGTGACTCTTAATACGTCCCTGCCGAATGTTACAGCGTTCGATGATCACGTGGTCTTGTTTATGTCCGGTCTATCTCTTATCTGAATATACTGTACATAAAATACAGAACCGATATCGGCACGGGTATCATGTAGGTATCTTGAAAAGTGAGATTGTATCGATTTTTTTTGACATTATACTGTTTTTTGACATTATGTAGGTTTTTCTATAAGATGTTAACTTAGCACTTAGTTGTATGCGTTGCCTAAACGTCATGAGGCTTTAGTTATCAATGTTTGGCTTTGATATTATGTAAAATCTGCTACAGAAATGGCATTACTGCAGTTCTAAGCTATAAGTTGTATGTGTTGGTGATAATTCCATTGGATTCTTGTGTCAAATACACTTAATCGAGATTCAAAGCTAGAAATTAGTTGCCTAGCCACTTTTTCTAATACATTCTGGAAATTACATATTATACAAATTTGCTGAATTTCAAAAATGAGAGAGATCAGAAATAATTATATTCACTGTACACTGTCGAAGTACAAACCATATACATGCTAACAGTTTTGTAGGTTTTTTATATGATACCCGTGCGGCGCCCGCATTACGTGACTTAAATAGTGACATTATATCGATTATTTTTATACCATTACGTAGGTTGTTCCCCATATTTCTCCGGATAATCGAAACCACATGTATTGAAAAAAATCTTCTTTATTGTAAATGTTTTGGTCGCAACGGTGACCTTCGTCAGTATAATGACTTTGCCAATATATTTTATTTATCTATTTTCCAGGTGACACTTCGTTTCGGTATTTATTTCCACCCAGAATTGTTGTCGTAACACACGTGTTTTTTATTGATCTGAAACACGAGAAATAGTACATCAACATTTAAAGGGAATCATTATCGACATGAAAACCACAGGATAAGTTTCAGATGTTACATTATGTAGGGTTTTCTTATAAAATATCACCTTTGAAACTAGCAGACATTTACTTTATGACCACTTGTAGTAGACGCGAAATGAACTAGTGATACACTAGCGCCTACCTAATGTATAAGTTGACACTTTACTGATTTTTGGACTACACAGTTGAGCATGTCCGTAAACATTGAAGGTCACGACTCGCACTATGATCAACAAATTATCGCGAACTTTTAGTGAAGCCAAAATTACATTCTAATAAAATCTGAATCAAAATTTGTTTTTATTTCTCCCCAAAATTAATCCGCGCACCAAGTCAAAAAGCCTAGGCATTTCCTCTTCAACTAATGCACTTCTGTTTTGCTTTGCTCTTCTCGTTTTCTTCCTCTTTTTCCTTGACATTCACGAGGTACATGCTTACTCAGTCTTGTACTGTCGAGATTGTGAGGATGTACTCACAAGAAAAGTTTGAGTGTAAAAGTATTTTAAAAATAGCTTTGGAATGAACGCGAAACGCTCTCGTTCTCCATGTCCCCACTACAGGAGTAAATATCACGTGGCCTCACAACTCTGACGAACCTATTTGGGGGTGTGTGTGTGTGTGCGTGTGGGTGTGTGTGCGTGTGTGTGCGTGTGTGGGTGCGTGTGTGCGTGTGAGGGTGCGTGTGTGTGTGCGTGTACGTACGCGTGCGTGCGTGGGTGTGGGTGTGTGTGTGTGCGCGTGTGTGTGTAGGTGTGTGCGTAGGTGTGTGCGTGTGTGTGTGCGTGTGTGTGTGCGTGTGTGTGTGCGTGTGCGTACACGTGCGCACGTGCGCGCGTGCGTGGGTGTGTGTGTGTGTGTGTGTGTGTACGGGTGTGTGTGTGTGTGTGTGTGTGTGTGTATGTGTGTGTGTGTGTGTGGCACCAAATAACTCTTAAAAAAATGCGCATTTTACAAAAAACTAAGTAAATATTATACAAGATACGAAGCTCAAATTAACAAATAAACAAGCACGATAGAACAAAGGTTAGGTTTCTCATTTGACAGGAGCGTGAAGGCTAAATGCGTTTTTTTATTGATCACCTTTCAATGGAACCGGTTGCTGACGTCATCACATCAGCTGTCAACCATAAGTTCACATCCAGAATCAAATCCAAGCGAATAACCAAAATTTCTGTGTTATGTGCCGCGGTTATACTATGGTTCAAGATGACAGACGGGTTGATGACGTCAGTTACACGAATCGCTTGAACGCGTTGGTTTTAACCGCAGTTTTGTTGCAAGTTGTTTATTTTAGTAAAAGCGCGTATATAATCTCTGATTATTTTTATTATCACTTAATAATAGGTGCTTTTTCGTCTACAACTGTGTATGGAAAGTTTAAATAAGAAACCTTTCATAATATTCATGGGAGAAATGTTTTTTTTTCAGAATATATTTTTTAATGATGGAACCATGGCTTTGTAGCTATGATAAGTTTCAATTCTCTAAAGTTTTCCGCATGTCAAACAAAACATTTATTGATTCAGCAGACATGATGAAAAAGCGATGAAAAAAGATATTAGCAAAACCGTATACAGTTGGACATCATTTAGTGAGTTTATATGGCCATATTTTAATATTCTTGTGGTATATGGCTACATAGGGTACTTTGTTAAGCATAGGAACTACATTTAAAGTGTCCCCAACAACAGTAATGAGTATAACTAATAAGGTGCTCCACTTTATGGTAAAACTGAAGTCAGCCTGTATCAAGTTTCCTAAAAATGAAGCTGAAGTACAATAACAATATCCAATACCCGGCAAAATTCTAACTTGTCACATTTCAAATAATAACCAGAAATATAAAACTACTCCTGGTCCGCGGTCCGATAGTCGTTCACACCGTTGACAGCGCACTCAAGGCCGGTCCGAAAGCCTCCGTGAGCACATTGGTATGAGCGCGTGACGTCACCTATTGCGTCACGGATAGCGTTTACGAGACGTTCACGGAGTACAGGCTGCAAGGCATGAGCGGGTTAAGCGCTTGCGCTGTTCGCGGCTATCGGACCGCGCAATGCGCGTTTATTACCACGACCGAGCAATTAGGCGGGAACAAATTTTGGAAAAATAATTATTTATACCTTTTGTGTATATTATGGCTGACGTTGAAATTCCGGTGCAGGCTGAAGGACAAGAGTTGCTATCATTGATATTGAGTGCAGCTGATGCCGCGAAAATCTATTCCGGAGGTAAATAGAATCAGCTTGCTGATGAAGTATAGAGACTTGCAAAGACTCAATTGCGTTCATTTATATTTTCAAGTCTTGGCCAGTTAATAATAGTTATTCTTTGTCTTTATATTAGATGAGGCTCTATTAAATCGTCTGTACCACGATGTTATAGAGGAAAAAAACAAAAGCCATCCAGACCAGAGCGCATCAGCTTGTACGCCGACCGCTGCACCTATTCCTTGTTCTACTCTTCCCCCTGCATTTCCTCATCCACTTGAAGAAGAAGATGAAGCTATCAGTGGTCCTGCTCCACCTGGAGTAGAAAAGGCAGATGAGGAAGATAAGTTTTTGTGGCCTACACAAATGGTTTTTCTGCTATTGTCTAAATTCGAAGAGTATAGGCCACAATTTGATGCGGGGGAGAAAACCCATAAGTCATTGTGGTTACAAATTGCAGAAGATATTAAAAAGCTAACTGGATCTACCCTTTACCATAGTCAACTTCAGTCAAAGCTAAATGGCCTCAAAAACCGATACAAAATAATATTGGCGAGGAAGGGTAGATCTGATAGTGGCACTATTAGATGGCCGTACCTAGAGCGGATGGAAGAATTATTTGGTCGCTGCGCATGGGCCAATCCCAAGGCCACTGCTGACGAAAGGGGCCCCATTCAGCCAGAACCCATTGCCAAAAAAATGAAGAAAACAGATGTCACTGCCCTAGAAAAATTAAAATTACGGAAAGAGAAAGAGGATCGAAGTAGAGCCAGAGAAGAAAAACGTATGCAGGCACTGCAGGAATTGATGGAAATGAAGGAAAGGCACCATAAAGAAAAAATGGATGCTCTAAAGAAGATAGGCGAAGCTTTGGCAGGGCGTAAATTATTTGAAGATGAAAACTAGGCTTCGTGTATTCGGGTTTGGTCAATTTTTGCATATTTTTATTTTTTTTGTTTGTTTTGATAATATTCGCTGAATTCTGTTCTGTTGTGTCATTTCCTAAAAAAAATTATTTAAACCAATGTCATTTTTAAAACAAATACACTGAAATATTTTCCAATCAGACTGTATTACAAAAATAGTAACACATTTACTAAATGTTTCTAACAGAAAGTTCATTCATGATGCGGTCTCTCTTTGCACTACCTGCAGCTCTCCTTGTGGCATCATCTATTAGCATGTCTCTTTGCTGGACAAGAGGGGTATCATTTATAATTTGTTTCACTAAGAACAAACAAGTCATCTCTTTGAATGCAAATATTATGCAATACTGCAACTGCTAATAGGTATTCAGGTATTTGTTCCATCGTGACCATGGGAAGCCTGTCAAGAATTCTCCTCCAGCGATTTTTCCACACACCAAATGCTCTCTCAATCGATGTTCTGGCAGATGATAGACAAAAATTATAGTTTTTCTGTAGTGATGTCAAGTGACCATTGTCCTTATAAGGCACCATTATACAGGGATGGATTGGATAAGCCGAGTCACCAACAAGGTGGCTATCATTTGGAAAGTATCGTGCTGGGTCTGCCATATAATCAGGTATTCTTGATAAGCTAAATACACGGGCATCATGAACTGACCCAGCATGTCCAGCATATACACTAGTGAATACTAGCTTGTAAGTACAAATGCTTTGCACTTGGACTGATGGATATCCCTTTCTATTGCAATATGCATTATGTTCATCATCTTTGGGTTTATTAATTTCAATGTGAGTCCCATCTATTGCACCAATAACTCCAGGGAAAGCACTAGCACGTACAAATTCTCCTATCACTTCTTGAGCTCGTTGTCCCTCAGGCCACCTTATGAATCTACGAGCTAAGGTATGTAGAGCTCGACAAACTCTTCGCATTGAACGTACACAGGTTGCTTTCCCTACATTAAACTTTGTGCAAGCAGACCTATATGAATCGGGAGTTGCCATTAACCATAACACCAGTAGCAGTTGAGTCTTTGCAGGAGTTTGTGGTCGAGAACTAGGCCCAGCTGTGCTTAACAATGGTCCAACATGTCCCAAAACAAATTCGAAAGTTTCTGGCAGCATTCTAAAATGCGATTTAAATTCTTCTGAGGAGAAACCCGGCACTGTGCGTTCTACAAACTCTTCAATGCGAGGCCTCTTTTGCATCGGTCCTCTTCTCTGTACCGCATATACTTCAACTCCATCGGTTTCTTCACTAGAGGATGACGAGAAAATTAAACTGATGAGTTCCTCATCATCTGACGATGAATCTAGTGTTTCCTGGAGTGCACTAACAATGGCAAAAGCACGATTTTCGTTCATTTTCACTAAATACAATAAACAAAAGTACCAAATTTTTTCAATTGCGGTTAAAACTTTTTTGTTTGTAAACAAGCACTTGCAAATCTAGCGGTCCGAAAGTCGTAGCGTCCACACGGGCAAACACACCGCAAACCAATCGGACCAAGCCGCCAACGTATTCATGTCCTTGAGCGGATATAGTGACTTACGGACCGCGACCCTGAGTTGGGTAAATATGTACTACAATTTTGCGGTGATAACTATGACATATAACAGCTGATTCATGACGTCACGGATCTTATCACCAAACTGATAACCACACTCGCTTGAACGGATCGGTAAATACCAGCCCTAAATGGTAAATACCATTTTCATTTGGTTATCCGCTTGAATTTGATTCAGGAATCAACCGGTGAATTAAAAAATACACCTTATTCATCGTCCCCGGTAAATTCTCTTTGTTGTTTTATTTACCTGCGACTTCTGGTTTCTCTGAATTTCTGCTAGATAGTTTCTTTGCGGTTTCTGTTCCGTGAACGTTATCTGATTTTTATTACGGTTTCATTTTTGACAGATGTTTGAAAAACAAAAATAAAATTAATTGCTTATTCCAAAAAATAAGTTAAGAATGTTCGTATAACCAAAAAAAGATACACAAAGATACACTCCCTTCTACATCTCCACGTGAAGATGACAGGATGTCTTCAGGAGATTCTATTGAGGCTCGACAAAATAACGAATTTGAAGCTCTACAAGTACGTTAGCATAAAAAACTAGAGAACTTTAAATTAAAAATGTACACCATTTTCAGAAACAACATTTTGTTGTAACAAAACATGTCTTTTGTTTTAGGCCATTTATGGTTTTGATCTTAAAGATCTACGCAAAAAGGCAGCATGGAACAAATGGACGCCTATGAATCTATCTCTATCATTAAAACCACAACAGGGAAGTGTTGGCACACACGAAATATATGCAACAATTGACCTACATATTGTTTGTGATGCATGTTATCCAGAAAAGTATGCCAATAACATAATTATTTTATTTTTATAACAATCGATTATGTATTCTGAATTTTGAGTTTCTAGAAAATGATTTTTCTTTAATACATTGTAGTTGTCCAAGAATTTATCTGGAAAACAGCAAAGGTTTGTCACAGACAACTGTTGCCGAGTTACAAGTCTTATTGGAGCAAAAGTCAAAAGAACTTGAAGGTGAAGAGATGATTTTTCAACTTGCACAATGTGTAGAAGAGTTTCTTCATACCCACAATAAGCCTACATCTAAAAGCTTCTATGATGAAATGCTTAAGAGGCAGAAAGAAAAAGAAGAAAGGGATTTGCAAGCTAGGCAGATTGAGCAAGACTTGAAGGTATTTTTATTAATTCTACGGAATAAGAATATTTATTTATCTATACACTACTCAAACAGCAATAGCCATCTACAGAGTAGGACACAGTCCAGACTAAAAAAAAGATAATTATATCATAATACAAGCAAGGGTCGGTAGTATAAACACAAAGATGCTATTTACAAATATCATAGTGCAGATAAAAAAGCAAGAAACAGACAAAATCTCACAGATTATATCCCAATTGTTCTGCAATATCATTAGCCCTACCACAAGGGTAAGATAGTGGAGAAAACTTCAAGATGTTTATTCTAGGGGAGGCAAATAAAAAAAAATGCCTAGGATTTAAATGTGGAATAAGAAAATTTATTCAATATATTGCAGCAATTGACACTATTGTGCAATATCATGCACAAAATTAATGGAGCACTTATCACCCCTTTCCCTGAGACTTTCTAGATCAAAGCTTCTTCTAAATCTTTCTGAGGGTAGCCAATTGGTGGGTAACTGCGATTTTTCTTGAACTGTAGCTACTTCAGTTGTTACCAGATATTTTTCAAGTCTTTCTATCCAAAATTTATAGCAAGGCTGCCAAACAGTTGATGCATGTTCAAGCTTTGAATCAACAAGTGAGCAAAACAAAAGTTTAATTGTATTGTCTTGTAACTCACAACCACAGCATATAATAAAGCCCAAGCCATCAGTAATTGTCTCCAAATGACCATTGAAGTAAGACTTACTATTGAAAAAGTCAGCTTAATCCTTTAGTTTGACTAAGCGATTGAGAGGTGCTTCACCAATATTATAACCAAATATAATTACTTGGGTTTTGTTGGTTTATACTTCACAGCATTTAAAGGCAAGCTATTATTGAAAAGTCAGCTTAATCCTTTGGTTTGACTAAGCGATTGAGAGGTGCTTCACCAATATTATAACCAAATATAATTACTTGAGTTTTGTTGGTATACACTTCACAACATTTAAAGGCAAGCTATTTTTGCAACACCAGCTGTCGAGCATGTTGATGTTATGTTGTAACTTATCTACAACCATCCAGGAACCGAATCGGAAAAAGAAGCTTGTGTCTGTCAGCATATAGGAGAAACTGTACATCTAATTAAATGTCTGTATCATTTATAAACATAATAAAAAATAATGGCCTCAGGACAGACCCTTGAGGGCACAAGTCATAATTGTATAGATCTGAAGCTATTGTTCATTACATATATGACTATCTCAGATAGATAGGATTTTATAAGTGGGAGGAAATGACCAGTCACACCAAGGTTAGCTGATTTGTCAATGTCAAAGGCTTTCGAGAACTCAGTATAAACGATTACAATTTGAACATGAGAGTTTATACTTTCAGATATACATATACTGTGCAGTGCAGAATAAGTTTGTAATTGTTGATCTCTTTTTTATGAAACCATGCTGTAAAGTATCATGCACATGCCAATAAACTGCATCATAAATAAGAAACTCAAACACTTTTTCAATATTGCACATGTTTCCTTTATTCCTAAAAACTTGACAGACCCTTGAGACTTTCCACGATGATGGTTAGATACCATTATTTAGCGATAGGTTATATAACATTGTTAGAGGCTTTGCAAACACAGAAGCAGGAACTGCATCTGGACCGGAAGTTAATTTAGGTTTTAGTCCTCTTAAGGCATGTCCAATTGTTTGGGTAGAGTCAGAATTACCACTTGAACTGTTTATGAAAGATTCATGAAAATAGTCAACAAAGCTATTCAAAATGTTGTGAGGGTCACTTATAACCAAACCATTATATTTATCCAAACCACTATATATCTTATTTTTGGGTATGGGTCTTTTTTAATCTTTAGTCTCAAAGCTTCATAATCTTGCAAGACGTCTTCATCAGAATTTCGTCTTAGCCTAAATAATAGTCTCTCTTTAGCTCTGGTATCATTTATAATACTTACAGTAAACCAACGAGAAAATCGCCTATGACATTTAGTGGTAGAGTAATTGGGGCACAGCATGAGTTAATGACATTTAATGTATCATAAAATTGCTTACAAGCTTCTGCCACATCATTTATGCTATCAAGAAAGCCCCAGTTAGTGCGGAACAGTTGAACATACAAAAAAAGAAATATTGACTTTTCTAAAATTTAAAGAATTAGACGTAATTCTATCAACTTTTCTTGCTGATCTGCGAAGTAATTCATTAATAGAGACAATAAGATAATAATTTATTGAGCAGTTATAACTATAATATATTTCTCAATTCATCTACATACTTGCATACTTTTAGATTAAACTCGTTATTCTTCTACTGCTATTCCATATTATAATGGAATATTTGCGTTTAGTTCACATTACTGAAGCTATGCATTGTAAATGCAAAAATGTAGGGACTGTAGAGATTAGGAATCCACCGAGTACTTAGTTTGTAGTTGGTGAATGAATGAATCTTGAACCTCTACAATCCTTAGATCACAAGCCTCGCCCTTTTAGCGAAGTTGAGAATCGCATTGAGTCCAAGCTCCTTGACGTCCTGAGGGTCCAAAGTAATGGACCCCAGTATAGTCTGAATATAGTAGCTCAGAGCTTCACAGCAACAAAAAACGTGCGCCGAGGTGACGCCTTAACGTGTTATGGCCAGACAATAGTCCCACCAGCAACCTTAGTTTGGCTCTATCCAGAGATGGCAGAAGCGTCCATCCTTAGCACTGGGCCCTTCAATGAGTTCCCGTGCCTGGCGGAGATGTCTGGAGATACTTCTCCATTTCTGAGACTGTTGTCTTGCAATCCACGTCTCCATTTTCCTCCTAGCTTTATGCGCGGTCACTCCTAGAGCTGGCTCAGGACCAACGAGCTTGCTGGCTGATCCTGTCTTCGCCAGAGTGTCCGCCGTCTCATTGCCCCTTATCCCAGCGTGCCCCGGTACCCATATTAACGATACCGGATGCCTCGCTGTGAGACAGTCCAGAGCCTCTCTGCATTGCAATACAAGACTCGAAGTAATCTTACAGACACTTAGTGCTTTCATTGCAGCCTGGCTGTCGGATAAGATTGTTATTCTTCTCCTAGGCCCACCCTCCTCCAGAATGTGAGATACACAAGCCAGAATCGCAAAGATTTCCGCCTGGAAAATAGTGGTGTATCCACCGAGAGGCAGAGATAGAGATAGTTCTAGGTAGTTGGTACTCGGCTTATTTTACACAGAAACCTGCTTTTGCCAAATATCAAATAATTCAACCAGGTACTATTTGGACACTAGGCAAGAAGTACTGCTTGTGTGAATAGAAGAACTGGGATGCGATCTGCAGTCTGCGCTCATATGTCTCCAGTAAATGAATGCCCCTTCTCCCTGAGAATTTGATTTGCATGATTTTGTGTATAATCTTGGCCATTCAAAAGTTTTTGGGGCAGGTACACTTTCACAAAAATGTGTCTCTGGTCAGTGATCTGCCCTTCCCAAGAAAAATTCCTGGGGGCGTCCATGGTAATCAGGACCCAGCTACTTCTCATTTTGAATATTATAATCCTCAAAATCCTACTATTTATCCGCTTTTATTTTATTTATAAAGTTTATGAAATCAAAGATTATATAGATTGGAAAGACCAATGAGTTATGTCACTAACACTAACTAGGTAATAATCATCTATATTTTTTGTATAGATATAGTACTATTAATTCAGAACAGTTTTCTGAAATTAGGGAAAACTCCCATGCACAGAAAATAAACAATAATAATTAGGAACGAAAAAATAATGAATACGGTTTATCCGACGCTGCGCGACTGCTTAAAGGTTAAATAACACCAAATATGTACCTTTTAGTCAGAGCCAAGATGCATTTTTAAGTGAAATGTATCTATCTTATTTTTTGTGACATATTTGGATAAAATATAATGTGAAGTGAACTGAAGAAAATGTGCCATGGAGTGCCCTTTTAAGCTCCAGTAGAACGTTTGTTTGTTTGTTTAAGATTTGTTTAGCATGATTGCTACAATTACATTCTTTTAAAAAACTAAACAATTACATAACATACAGATATTTAGAAAAAAAAACAAAATTTGCATCTCTAAGAATTTTCACTGTCCATGATAATCTTCTTTTAAACATCAAATTACAAGTAGACTTTATATCATTATTCAGTTTATTAAATTCAAGTAATCCTTTCTGAAATATGCTTTTGCTAGTTATATTACTATTGCAGTTTTGTAAATGAAAATCTATATTTCCTCTTGTATAATAATTGTGGTAATGATTATTCAATTCTATGTAGTGTTCTAAATGTTGTGGCAAAAGATGATTTTATTATTTTCAATATAAAAATAAGAACGAAACCACTGCAATTCAGGTAACAGATTTTATTTTGGTGTACTTATTTTTATTCAATATTATTCTCATAGCTTTATTTTGTAGGACTTGTAATTTTGAGAATATGCTTCATTGGCAGTGAATAAGATAGTGGAACAATATAGTAAATGTAGGTAGAATAATTGTATTATAAACTATATATTTTTGGAATATGTACTAGACTATGAGAAGTCCTATAAAAGTAATTTGTTTTTTTGGCAATTTCCGAAATAATGTATTCATGGTGATCCTCAAACTTTAGTTTACTATCAATATACGAGTATATATATATATATATATATATATATATATATATATATAAATTCGAGGTCGTATAGCCATTTTATACTACAATGTGTAGGTTGGCTCTTGTTGTGGACTTCGTGTGTCGTTTTTTTCCCCTTCAACTTCGTTTCCTCAGGTTACACCCGTATCCGGATGTGTGGGCATGTGTATCTACTTTTGTAGTTTCATATGTGCATTCATTTCGGGCCTGATGAAGCCAACCAGCAGAAATACGTATCGCTCGGGTTACCTATCTCTATTTTCTGCTCGAATCCACTTTCCTCCTTTTTGCGGATTTTGCCCATTATTTTCCTACTTGTTATATATATATATATATATATACACCTTTCCGTGCCTACCACCTTCTCCACGTGTGGCGGAAGTAGGAGGTTAGAAACTGCATTCCGATTGTAATTGTCCCCAAAATTTCTTCTCGTTAACTAGTTTTTAATATGTTCGGGTGTATTGATAGTTTTAACAAATAACGATGGTATCTGTCGTTATCAATAAACCCAATGTTTCCGTCCGATTGGTTTTATAATTGTAACAAGTGCTCTCATCTCCACGTTCGTTTTGAAACACCATTTGGCTGCAACCCCAACGACGAGTAAGTTGCTTGACATTTTAAGTCGTTCCTAGCCTCACAATTGTGTTTTTACATCCTGATGAATGCTCCATAGAGATTGCCAAAAGAGTTAACTAAAGTTTAAAAATTTTGCCAATTTCCCAATTAACAATTAATTGCATTTTGTGCCCTACTGGTCGTTGACAATGGAAATGACTATTTCTCATATATACAATGTGTTTGGTCACAACATACCGATATTTGAGGGGGATATTTTTCAGCTATTTTTATCGACAAATCCACCCCCTAAAATGTCATACCTCACCCCCCTTAAAATGGATCCATACCGCTGCGAACGAAATTAGGACTGACACCGATATGTTCTGCCGCTCAACACGAGACATTGTTTTAAGAACAATAATGGAGGACATTTTGAACAGCTTCTGTAACATTAAACATGTCCAAACTCTCTATAAGAAACATCGATTTGTCATTTTTATGCATATAAAGTTTGAAAACAATTTGCGTTTTATTACACCCATTTTGACCCATGTTAGATAGCATTTATTGCTTAACATAGAATACTTACGATAACAAAACGCTGTAGAATTAGCACAAAAAAGGTACAACTTTACAGGCTAGTTTTTGAATGGTGTGCGGAAATGCACAAAATAATCAATTTTCTTCCACATTTTTTTCTGTTTTTGTCTGTTATTAAGTATATTTGACAGTTAGTATCAAAACAAGATTTTCAATAATCGCTTAGTCAGCATGTTATCGTTCAAATGACACCAAATTTATCATTCTGTGACAATTACGTACTCAGTTATTACAATTTTCATACATGCACTACCGTAATCGTAAAGTAAACATAAAAATGGCTGCCATTTCAAGGGGGATGAGGTAGGAACTGTAGGGTGGTGGATTTGTCGACAAAAATAGCTGAAAAATACCCCTCTTAAATATCGGTTTGTCGTGACCAAACACATTGTATATATATAACTCAAATATCTTTCTTCAACGAAAACGTTTTTAAAAAGATTTATTTTTGAGAAAAACCAAATACAACGATGTTAATTGAATGAGTTCTGAATCGAGACTGACTGCAAAGTGCATTATACAAACCAAAGTAAAGAACAAATGAAATACAATACTGAAACTGATAAGAAAGGAACGTGGAGGCAAAAGTCCTTGATCAGCATCTTCTTCTCTATAGACTGGTACATAACTCCTCCACCCCTAGAATGAGGCTTCCCCTGGAAGGTGAATTTCTTTCTTCTTATATCTTGAACTGTAATCTTCTCTTCTAGTGAGTTTTGTGGGACTTGGACCTTTTTCTTTCATCTCGGCTAATTCAATGTCGTTTTCTAACTTGGATGCTTTCTTGTTTCTCCATCTTCTTTATAAAATTATGCAGCAGATGCTTCGATTAACTTGTAATTCTGGTAAATTTAACGTTTTAGAGTAATTTGTGTCTCTGGGATATTTTGTTTAATAAAATGGAAATCCATTTTGTCAGCTACGAGGGGCTTTCCATAGGTTTTGTCTTGAAAGATAATTTCATTGTCTTGGAATGATATTTGGCATTCACTGGCTTTGACTAAGAAAATGCCAAGTAATGACTTTGTATCGAT